GTTGTCCACTTTGCGATACCCGAAAAGAGTGTGCTTCCTGTATATCCAATATTATAGTATGACTGGTTGTTATAGAAAACCAATGTATCAATTAAGGGATAATTTTGATAATGCACGATACTTACACATTCGGACCGCGGAGGACATTGGTTAAGAGCTCTAATTTGGAAGCATCAACCTTCTCCAAGGGGTTGTAAGGGACATTTCCAGCCGCTATAACCACCTCTGAATCTTCAGCTCGTCCAGGAACATCCTGCACGAGGACTGTTGTTTCCTTAAAACCTTCCGGAAGGGCTTCATCCATCTCAACAATTATTTGCTTCTACATTTTTTTGGGTACAACCGGCGTAGGAATTTTAACTGCTATTGCTTCAACTGCAGCATCGTTGTTTGGTTCATCCTGTAAAGAAGTATTATTGTAAACAGCATGATTAAACAATTTCAAAATGTAATGATAATATTTACTGGGAAGATACTCACAATATTTTCCAGTGTACCAACTGTCGTGTCTGCTTCATCTAACCCTGGGTTTGAATCCTCTTGTTCTTCCACCCCGTCGACAATCCCCTGCTGCTCCAACATTCCCTTTTCAAATTAACGTGCAGAATTATTTAAATGTACGCATACAATCCTATGTACGTATGTTAATAACTGTGTATAATTTTAAACCAAACACGAGATTTTTACCTCCTTTACATTAGCTGCATCCACATCCATGGAGGCTTCGGTTGCCAACTCCTGTAACACCTGCATAATAGAAGATTATAAATTTAAACAAGCCTACACTATTTTATTTAAAAATATAGTTAGCTTACATTCTTAACTACTGCAAATGGTGAAGGGGGATCCCCTAGGGTGCCCTCAAGTATTGAGTCATCCACTTTACTCTCTGCAACTACATTGGGTACATCTCCCGCATCAACCTGTGGCAGTAGTTATCAACTTCATCGGCTATATCCTCTATTTTGTGATGTCTGAAACAATCATTACTTATACGTACACGGGAAATAAGAAAGACAAATGTACGTACACTTACACCGGGTTCCTCGGTGTGTTCAGCCTGATAAGATGTATCTCTATCATTATCCTCAGAAATTTCTGGTTGCTCCCCAACATTTGCTTCACTCTCAAGACCGGCACCGTGTTCTTCTCCCTGAAACAAATATACCATACACGTCTTAAGCTTTATGTGAGTACACATATGGAAAACTATATTTGACTATTAGCAGACCATATACCTGTCCAGATGTTGCAGGTAAACCTGATGGATTTTCTACCATCTCTGTGTCAGCAGTTGGTTTTTCATCTGTCCCTCGCTGTGTACCAACTACGACAGGCTCACCACCATCAATTGGTTCTTTATCCTAAAACATAGTATACCATACACTTCTTAAGCTATATGTACGTGGAGAACTGAAAATAATTGATACGCGTACACTTATGGAAAACAGTATGTGACTATTAGCACAAGACATACCTGTACAGAGGTTGAAGGTACAGGAGATGGAATTTCTTCCATCTCTGTGTCAGCAATAGCTTTTTCCTCGGTCCTTGACTGTGTACCAACAAGGACAGACTCACCACCATCACGTGCTCCTTCATCCTGAAACATAGTATACCATACACTTCTGAAGCCTATGTGTACGTACACAACTGGAAATAATTGGAAAAAAAATTTGTACACCACATACCTGATGGGAAGGTGTAGGTCCACCAACTGAAATGTTAGCTACTCCAGTGTCAACCATACCTTCGTCTCTGTTCGAAAAATCTCCTCCATCATTTACAGAAAAACCACCTTCATTGTTGGCTTCATCCTGTACCATAGCAGACAAGTTACAGTTATTAATCTTCATGTACGTACATTTAAAATACTATATATAAATGTACGTACATGCCATACCTGGTCATCTTCCTCAGAGGAAGAGTTACCATCAGAAAGCTGAGTAATCTCAGCAACTGACGTCATTATATTCTTCAGCCTTGAAGACTTTCTTGTTCCAGACTTGAAGACTTTCTTTGTAGACATCTTTTTAGATGCCTTCGTCACACTCATCGGTGCCTTAACCACCGATTTATTTGGGCCCTGTGAAGCATGGGAAGTTTTGGTTGGTTCTGTCTTTTTGACCTTTGGAACTAAGGCAGCACGAATCTCCTTACGGACAAATTTCTTCAAGTCTTCTTGCATTTGTTTATTTTGTGCTTCCTGCCTCTTGAAACACCTCCTAAGTTCAACTACAAACTTCTCAAACTGGGGATCTTCAGAACAATCCTCAGCAGTGTCCTCATTTTCTTCTTCCACAACAGATTTCTGTTTTTTCAAAGCAGATGCATTCGGGGCTGGTACATTTCTTTTCCTCTTCTTCACACCTACGATAGACCAGTTTAATCATTGATTGGTCTTCAAGGGCCAATAATCAGAAAGTATAAAAACAACATTTACACTCACGTATCTCTCCAAGTTGTGGTGGGCGCTCCTGCTTTGGAAATGCAGCATTACCTCCAACCCATTCTTCCTCCTTCCACTCATGACCAGCTAACAACAGTCGCTCAATGTAAGCAACTCTTGGATCCTCAACTTCATCATCCCATGACAGGGATGGAGGACAAATATTGTCCTCTGGTTTCACAAGATAGGTTACCTCAACCTACACCAATAAGTTTGTTAACCACTTAGAGAGTGTACACTTACTTTTTAAATAATGTACGTACATAAACAATTGTACATACCTCTTCAGCAGCCTCGCACTCCAAGATGCTGGATGTCCTGATTGCCCGCAGAGAGGCAAGATGATGGATAGACCTCTGAGTAAATGTCCTGTTAGCTTCATCATCAGGTACTAGCTTAGCAAGGGATGGGATTGTTTCGAACGCAAACAGCTGGAGTGCTAATGGGAATCCATGTAGTGCATAAGACCCATCCTTTACACACCTTATCAGTTTTTGAGCATCTGAAGGGGTTTGGAATTTTGCTATCCTCTCCAAAGTACGGGTAAAAGACACCCTTCCCCAAGGGTATTTGCAGAAGAATTGCACGTCCTTCGTCATCTCAACAGTGAACTCAGAAGGCCTTATGGGGTTATTATGGCACCCTATCACACCATCTACCAAGATTATAAGAGATAAGGCCAGCTGCTTCCACCCATCCATGGTTTCCTCCTCCTTCAGCCAGACCACCAAATCATTCACTGTTGGATTCGGCTTCTCCCCAAACTTCTCCTCAAACAGAGTTTTCCAGACACTTTGACTACCAGCTTTAACCTTTAGCACATCCCTCACGTCTTTCTTGTTGGGATATGTCCCACATTCTAGACCAGTTACCAGACTAAATTCTCTTAATCCGAATTTTATTGGATGACCGCCGAAGACCATCCACATCTCATTCACTTTACTCGTCACTAACTGACGACATATTAGTCCAAGAACAAGTTTACCTGAGAAGGAAGACTTGTTAGCAGGTATCCTAAAAAGGTCCCCAAATGGAGACTCGAGAAGAAACTTCATCTCCTCTTTTCCCTTAAGAACTTGTGCTATGTCAGAAAGGTACTCCGGTTTGGAGTACGCGTTCATCTTCGTCTTGACAGGGTACCGGTCTAGGGCAAAGAGTCTAGGTGGTAACTCTTCAACTATAAGATCTTCAGTCGGAGCCACGCTTGTACTGCCTGCAATTACAAGTGATATACAATTAAGTACGGATGTATGAATTCGTGTACGTACACAGTAATTATCATCATTATATACTCAACATCTGAATTTTGGCGGAAACAGAGATTTCTAATTCAACTTCTCAAATTTTCAAACTACAGATATAGCAAAATTCGGCAACTTCTATCCCTTTAATCAAACAAGATTTAAGATTTCGATACACCCAAAGAAACTACAAACGGAATAATATCGGAACTTACCCAATTCCTCCGGCGGATTTCTCGGAGGGAGTTTCCTCCTCGGGGATACTCTGAGTTCCACCTTGTCCTTCTCGGGGCCTTCCTGCGTATGCTTCTTCCTAGAGACTACGTTGTTTGGTTTATTCCCAGCCATCTCGAAGGTTGGTATCTCGCCGGATGTTTCTCAGGTCGCCTTCGCCGTAAAAACTGGAACTTTCTCTTCGCCGGTTTTTCGAGTTCAATGCAATGCCTCAAATCAAGTAGCAGACAATTCGATTAAAGGGATAGAAGTTGCCGAAAACGAAAATGGATGAATGAATTCCGTCTCTCTCTCCTTCTTCTTCTTCGTTTTCTTCGACAGTTTCTGCAACGAAAGTTTTTTTTTTTTTTTTTCAAAACTAACTAAACCGTGTGATGTAAAACAAAAAAAGCAACTAAACCGAAATTAACTCTGTCGTTTGGTTTTCATCGTTAGGGGTATTTTCGTCACAATTTGGCTTAACTGCCACCACGTGAGAATGAATTTTCAGTTTGCCAAAATCTGAGACCAAATCTTTTTTCTTTGCTAAACGTGAAAATTTCTTTAAAAAAAATGATAAGTCATTTGACTTATGCACGTTATATAAATTCTTAGACCAATATTATAGGGGTCGAAAATATTTTCCTTTTAATTATAAAACTTGCATACAATTTCTTAGTAAACAAATTAAAGTTGTATCATAAAATTCATATTTTGTAACCAGTTTATTATTGGTTCGATTGTGGTAACGTTAAATACATTTTTTTAATTAAAAACTAGACAATCAGTACTTCTTGACAAGATATCAACTTTACCATTACGCGAAGTCATTTTTACAAAATGAGGTGTAATAAAACATACTTCAACAGTTGCAATTACGATGGAAAGAATTAAAAATAGTTTCAAAAGTCAATAAACTAAAAGATGAGATATAACCCCTTTTTTGTATCCTTTCAATATACGAGTAAAATCATCAAAACATTTTACCTGAAATCAAAATGTATATAAATATTTATCTTAAATTTTGTTTTAACGGAATATTCAATGGATAAATGGTGAATAAAAAAAGAGAAAAATAAAGCACTACAAGAAACACACCGGTTAACGTCGGTATATTGAAGTCAATTAGTAAACCGACGTTAAACTTTCAATTAGAGAAGTATTTTGCATGACTTAAGAAACCGACTTAATCATTTGCGTCACTTATTAATACTTCGATTTTTTTTCATTTATCTAGAAACTAATTGTTTCCAACAGCAAAACTTTTCGATCGCTTATGATCTCTTCCATTTACGAGCTTCTCTATCTAAGCTTATCGTCGTTGTGGTGGAGTTCTGATTCTTTGATTTCAATATCCATTTGGATTCAAGCTCAGAGGCGGAGAAGCAGATCCAAAATCGATGATCTCTGTAACCAGATCGAGACGAAACAAGAGCATCGAAGCTCGTCAAAACCACCAAATCAGGTATTGATTCTAACTTGGAAACATGATCGGAGATATTCGCCGTTAGGTTATCGGACATTGACTTATGATAATGGAGAATCATGATAGTTTGTTGCGGAAAATTGAAATGTCAGTGCTTGAAATCATCGGTCCTTTTAAGAGAAAATTGGTTGCTCGATTCCAATGTCAGTGATTGAGTTTCGAAGTAGATGCTCTCAATTTGTATAGAGGAACTTCCCATAGATGAATTCACGGATTGACCTGAGTTTAAGAGATGATTTGTTCGATCTGCACAGACAATGTGGATCTAGAGTAAGGAGTTGATTCTAGCCAAGACTGATTCGAGTCTTTGTGTTCTACTACCTCAATAAGTTGAGAGTATAATCTTTGAGGATATTGAAGAAGCATATGGACTTGTTCCAATGAATCATTGAATCGATTACAATCACAATCTGGTCTTGTTTTGATTGATTTATCATCTGGTTTTGGCAGTGATATGTTTTGTTTGCTCATTAAGAAAAGCAACAACACATTTTACACTTCACAGAGGTAGATGAATTGGCAGTACTTGGGACAAACTACAATAGGTATGAATAACAACAAATTGCATAATGTTTGATAATGATACTGAGATATGAGTTTAAGACTGTTTTTAAGTCTGATAAGTCTGATACTAAGATATGAGTTAAATCCGGGGACAATGAAAACAAGTGTGTGTAAGTAAGTCAAAGAAAAAAAAAAAAGAGCTTGGAAACGAAACAATATACATAGAGAGATACATAGAGAGGATATGATAAGGTGTTACTTATCTCTGACTTCTTTCTGCAAAAAGTTTCAAAATTTGAGTCATTTTTTTGTTTTTGTGTTTTGATTTTTGGAAACAGATCCATTGTCAGAGATGGAGACTCTTTCCATCAACGCACCAACTCCGGATTCTACTTTGCCCTCCGGAGTAAAGTAAGTTTCTTCTCCTATCTCCCCTGCAATTTTATTGCCTAGGATTCAAGAAAGAATGAAACCAACGCATACATGATGATGAGCTGAGGGATCTTCTAGCTAAGAAGGCTGCAATACATGATGATGAGCTGAAGGATCTTCTGGCTAAGAAGGTAATGGCTATGTTAGTCATTGTATAGTTTAGGATCATCCATAGCTATTAGTCCTCTTGTTTATTGGGATCCGTTTGAAAACATGGCTATGTTTTTAAAACTGACGTCAAAACCCTTCTTTTTTGTAGTGAAGGTCATAAACTAACTAGAAAATAGAGATAATTAAGTTGAATTCATTTTAATGGACATGTTTCTATTGTATATTTTATTTTTCCATTTAGTTGTTATGAGTTTAATTGAAACTAACATTCTCTAGTAAATAAATATTGGTTTGTTCTTAAAGTAAAAGGGAATTTTGCCAAATGTGCCACAATTTTAGAAAATCCTAGCAAATGTATCACATTGCAAATCAATTTAGCATCCATACCACTTTTGGTGTTTGTGTGATAGAGGTTGGACGATTTTACCCTTCTGCCTGCGTCAGGAATGTGTCAGGGGAAGGAGCGCTACAGTAAGACGCCGGTTGGGAAACGGGGAGCGGCTGCATTAAATGGATGTCTCCAGATCTTGTCCCCGATTGAAAATTCTCTGTTGCGTCTAGATCTTGTCCCCGATTATCATGAATCCCAGATGATATGGTTTTACCAGCCTGCAGAGATCTGGATTTACTCGGGACAACATCTCTTAATTATCCATCGCCAGATGATGTGGTTTTACCAGCCAGATATCTTGATTAACTAGGAGACAACTTGATCTTTATTTTATTCTGCCAGAGAGCCGAAGACGAAGATCTGGATTTACTCGGGGACAACTTTGTTTTACTAGCCAGAGGGACGAAAACGGTTATCAATGCGCCAGGGTCTTGTCTCAGAAAGTCCCATCAACCGCAGGGTCTTGTCTCAGAAAGTTGGAGGGTAGAATCGTCTTTTCAGATGACGAATGTGGTATGGATAATAAGTGGGCTGCGAAAGTGGTACTTGACCTAAACTTTCTGAGAAAAGTGGTACTGGGTCTAATTTTCCCAAAGTAAAATTCGATAAGGGTCAATTTTTATGTTATAATGGGTCAATTGTGAATAATTAATCAATATTAAACTGATGTCGAGATTTCATAGCTGTCAGTGACCCATATGGTCAAGCACCTATGGGGTATTGGACTTACACCACTGCAAAATCTATTCACCACTCCAAGACCATCTTCTTCTTTTTTCCTTTTTTTTTTTTTTTTGTAAATGAAATTACTTCAAAAGATTCCCAAGAGTTACGAACCCGTTACTGTGGAGAATGGGCTGAAAGTAATAATAACTTAATAATGTAAATAAATAAACATCAGTTTTCATGTTTTGGCATCTAAAAGGAGAACACAGCCGACGGACGAAAATAGTCACCGGAAATAATTAATAAAATCAATTAATCCATATTGTCTGACAAAGCTAGAACTGTTATAAATAATTACTTTATTTTATGGTGTATATAAATATAAATAATGGAGAAAGAATTTATACCCGCAGAAGGATCGGGATACTGAAAATAAAGAGATGAGAGGGAGAGAGATTATTACTTCTCTTGTAATTGAAGTAATGAATTGTGAAGGTGTGAATTACATCGAACGATTTCGATCGTTTATATAGAGGTAGAAAAGATAAGTTACTATGCTGCATAGTGACGGTGGGCTCCACACAAAATATTATTTTACGATCGTTTACGCATGTGTATTTGATGTTGCAGCTTTCCTTGACTTTTACAACACTCCCCCTTGGAGACCAGTGTCACTATGTCTCTTGCGTAATATTTTATGTTGCCTCGTTAAAAACCTTTCTAGGAAAACCCGGTGGGAAAAACCATAGTAGGTAAAAAGAGTGCAACCGCGCAAGCTCCCCCTCGAATGATCAGGATCATAACTTACAAGTCTTGTTGACGACGCATTCCAATGTTATGAACATGTTTCCTGAATATAGAGGTGGGTAATGATTTCGTGAAGAGATCCGCAGAATTCTCGGATGATCGGACATATTTTACTTCAATGTCTTTATTCTTCATGAGCTCTTGGGTGTATGAAAAGAACTTTGGAGGGATATGTTTGGTTCTATCGCTTTTGATATATCCTTCCTTTGTCTGAGCAACACATGCAGCATTGTCTTCATACAAGATAGTTGGCTCCGTATTCAGACGAATTCCACTACTCGTTTGAATGTGTCGACTTATTGATCGTAGCCACACGCATTCTCTACTCGCTTCATGGAGTGCGATGATTTCAGCATGATTTGAAGAAGTAGCTACAAGCGTCTGCTTCTGAGAACGCCATGATATAGCAGTACCTCCAATCGTGAATACGTATCCTGTTTGTGATCGAGCTTTGTGTGGGTCTGATAAATATCCTGCATCTGCAAAACCAATCATTTGACCATTTATATTTTTAGGATAAAATAACCCTAAGTCAATAGTCCCTTGAAGATAACGAAAGACATATTTAATTCCGTTCCAATGTCTTCGTGTAGGGGATGAACTAAATCTAGCCAAAAGATTGACTGAAAATGATATATCAGGTCGAGTGCAATTTGCAAGATACATAAGGGCTCCAATTGCACTTAAATACGGTACTTCAGGACCGAGTATCTCTTCATTCTCTTCAGGTGGTCTGAATGGATCACTCTCAACATTAAGTGATCTAACGACCATTGGAGTACTGAGAGGAGTTGCCTTATCCATATTAAAGCGTTTTAACACTCTTTTGGTGTATGTGGATTGATGTACAAATATACCCTTTTGAGTATGTTCAATTTGTAGGCCAAGACAAAATTTTGTTTGTCCGAGATCTTTCATCTCAAATTCCCCTTTTAAATAGTTTATTGCTTTCTGTATTTCAGCTTGAGTCCCGATTATGTTTAGATCATCAACATATACCGCGATTATCACAAATCCGGAATTTGTTTTCGTTATGAAAACACATGGGCATATAGGATCGTTCACATATCCTTCTTTCGTTAAGTGCTCACTGAGACGATTATACCACATTCGTCCAGATTGCTTTAACCCATATAATGATCTCTGCAACTTTATTGCACACAACTCTTTGGGTTTAGGTTTTAATGCTTTTGGCATATTAAACCCATCGGGAACTCTCATATAGATATCTGTATCTAATGATCCATATAAATATGTTGTAACGACATCCATGAGACGCATCTCTAGATTTTTGCCAGCTGCTAGACTCATCAGAAATCTAAACGTTATAGCATCCATAACAGGGGAATATGTTTCCTCATAATCAATCCAGGGTCTTTGAGAAAATCCTTGAGCTACGAGACGAGCCTTGTATCTCGTAATTTCATTTTTCTCATTTCGTTTTCTAACGAAAATCCATTTGTATCCAACCGGTCTCACATCTTCAGATGTGAGTACAATAGGTCCGAATACATTTCGCTTATTGAGCGAATCAAGTTCGACTTGTATTGCATCTTTCCATTTTATCCAGTCATGTCTCTTTTGACATTCATATACAGACTTTGGTTCTGGATCCTCGTTTTCCTCATCAATTTCCTTTGACAAAAGGTATGAGAAAACGTCATTAACATCATCCATTTTATTTCGATCCCAGATCTTTCCATTATGTATATAGTTGATAGAAATCTCATGATTTCCTTCAGGCTCATGATGCTCATCATTATCATTAGACTCATGATTCGTTTCTTCCAAAATGCTTTCTGCTATTTTGGGAATATCATGCTTTTCAACTTCCTTTCGTTTTCTAGGATTTTTATCCTTAGCACCAACTGGTGTACCACGTTTCAAGCGTGTTTTAGACTCACGTGTATCATCTTCTCCTCCACGTTCTTGTGGGATTTCAATTCGAGCAGGTACATTTGCAGCCGGTATATATGATTTAGTTACCGTTTTGGTATCTGTAAAAGCATCGGGAAGTTGATTTGCTATACTTTGCAAATGCACAATTCGTCGAACTTCTATTTCTGACTGTTTTGTAGGAGGATCAAGGTGTAACAGGGATGGTACACACCATTTGATTTCTTTTCATACTTGCTTATTTTCTCCCCCTAGAACCGGGAATACTTTCTCATCAAAGTGACAATCGGCAAATCGTGCCGTAAAGACATCACCAGTCTGCGGTTCTAGGTATCTTATAATTGATGGAGAATCACAGCCAATATATATTCACAACCTTCTTTGTGGTCCCATCTTTGTACGTTGTGGTGGTGCTATAGGCACATACACCGCACAACCAAAAATTCTTAGATGAGATATATTTGGTTCTCGACCAAATGCTAACTGTAGTGGGGAGTATTTATGGTATGCACTTGGTCTTATCCGAATAAGTGCTTCTGCATGCAAAATGGCATGTCCCCATACAGAGGTTGGAATTTTTGATCTCATGATCAATGGTCTTGCAATCAATTGCAGACGTTTAATTAATGATTCCGCCAAGCCATTTTGTGTATGAACATGAGCTACTGGATGTTCAACTTCAATTCCTGTTACCATACAATAATCATTGAATGCTTGGGATGTGAATTCACCAGCGTTGTCTAGTCTAACCCTCTTAATGGAATAATCAGAGAACTGAGCTCTTAATTTGATTATCTGAGTTATAAATCTCACAAATGCCAAATTTCGAGATGACAATAGACAAACATGTGACCATCTGCTAGATGCGTCAATCATTACCATAAAATAGTGGAATAGTCCACATGGTGGATGTATCGGTCCACAAATATCGCCTTGAATTCGTTCAAGGAACTTTAGTGATTCTTTATCAATTTTGGTTGGCGATGGCCTTATGATCAAATTTCCAAGAGAACACGCTGCACATGTCATTTTATTTCTATGTTTCAACTCATGATTTTTCAATGAGTGACCATGTGAGCTCTCTATGATTTTTCGCATCATTGTGGTGCCTGGGTGACCAAGGTGATCATGCCATAGTACGAAATCTTATGGATTTCTTTTGATCACAAGGTTTGACTCTATGGCATCTATATAGGTATGATGCAAACCAAAAGGAAGTTCTGGAAATCTTTCCAAGACATGTCTTTTTCCAGATTTATT